AGAATAAGAGTGTTAAATTTAGTGTGCTGCATTTTTTTCCATTATAAAATTTAGAGATTTTATTTGAAGACAGATTTTTCCAATCAATTTGCTAGACCACACTAGAGCCTTGTGACTAATATTTGGTGCCTGATTAATCTTAGGGGAGAAAAAAAGACATGTTTTGTTTAGGTTAGACTGAACTGTTGTTTAACAGTTTATGAAGACTGTTCAGTTCAGCAATTTAGATCCAAATTTGTGACTCTGGCATAATGCCCATTGTTGTATTCTATGACTCTTTTACCTTGATTCCTTCCCTGTTCTCTAATCTTGTTTAGAACTGTTACTGGAGATGACTATAATATAGCACTCGCTGTTACTAGATTTAAGTTCTCTCTCTATATGCTCCTGTACCCCAGATTGTTAAGTTCTCTATATATGCTCCTATACCCCAGATTGTTAGATTGCTAAGTTCCTTTAGCTCAAGGATTATGCCTTATTTCTCTTTGTACTCCCAGCACCTAGCATTATACCTGGGAATTGATAAACTTTTCCTGAGCAGAATAGAGCTAAAGTAATTTGTATGATCTATTTCTAAGTACTTTCAATATTCTAGATACATTTATCAAGAAAAGGGGAATGCTAGACTGGCCACTAGCTTCAAATATTTGAAAGACTGAACACACACACACACACACACACACACACACACACACACACACACACAAAGACTGGACTAATTCAAGTATTGTTCCAGAGCGCAGAACTGGTGCTAATATAAAGAAATCTACAGAGAAGCTGATTTGGGTTTTCTCATTTGGAGTACCCGGTAACTAAGCTGTGTGATAATGCGGATGGCCTACAACCCTTTGAAAATGCTCCTTATCCCTGAAAACATTCAAACAGAGCTGTTTGGTCAATTGCCAGAATTCTATATAGGATTCTTGTTTTGGTGGTGGATAAACCATGAGTTTTCCCAACTCTTAAGTTTGTTGGTTTGCTTGCTTATTTTAGAAGTTTTAAAAAAAGGTAATTTAGAGCAGTTACTACAGTTTTTAATGTCCCTTAAATTCAGAAAAGCTGGTAATGTTTACTTAGTTTTTAGAATGATGTCCTCATGATTTTCTTCACATTGGTTAAAAGCGTATTAACTGCCCAATCAGTAATAACTGAATACACATTTTCAGAGTTTTTCAGTCTTTTTTTCTTAGCCAGATGTAAATAAATCATTTCTTTATTATAATAGAATTGGAAGCTTCCTCTTGTGAGCAGAACACTGGATTGAAAGTCAGGTACCTTGAATTCTGTCTACTCCAGTCTCTGCCATTGGGTAGCCATGTGTCTTGCGGAAATCCCTCACTCACTCTCTTGGCTTCAGTTCCCTCTTTGTTAAAGTGTTGGTGGTAGAGTGTGAAGCAGGGAGCTTAGGGTCCCTTCTTACCCCAAAATTTGAATTCACATTAGGCATATTGGGAGGCACATTAATTATTTTAGCATATTAACATATTTTAATACAGGAAAGTTCAATGAGAGGGTTATACTAGGTTCAAAAGATGATTTGTCCTTTTCTTAGGTATTTTTAACAAACCAATAACTATTGCCCTAAAAGCATTCATGGATGCTATTCTTTGTCACTAAGAAAAAGGAAACCTCAGTTCTTAGGAGTACCCCTCAGAGCAGCCTCTTAGGTTAAAGTCTAGGAACCCTAGCCTTAAAAAGTAGTTTGTTGATTGATATATACAGAATCTGTGGAACCTCTAGTCCATGTATTCTTCTGAATAAACAACATACTTATTTGGGAGAATATTTAATACACTGTATCATTATAGTAAATAAGTGTATATATACTGTTTCATTATATTAAGTCAATAACAAAATGACATGATAATATGACTTATTAAATGTTACTTCATTAAAATGGATTTTTATTATTTTATTAATCAGAAAAACACTGGATATTTAAAAGATTATATTAAGTGTAAACCAGACTGAATTTTACATATAAGTACCTGTCTGCAAATAATGTAGTTCAGACAACATTTTTTATAAAGATAGAATGTTTATTGTTAGTATAAATTATCTGAGTTTTGCAGTGGTCATTTAAAACTGAAAAATAATGTAATACATTCTATTTAGGTCAAGCACTCTAAGAGATACTTTATTTAAAACAACTCTTCAATATAGATATTATCTTCATTTTACAGAGAGGAGATTGGTGTGCAATGGGAATAAGCAGCTTGCTCACATTTATCCTATAATGAAGCCTGAATTTAAACCTTGCTCAGTTGGCCTTTATTCCTTCTGCTATGATATAGTAAATGTTTGAAAATTGTGAAAAGATTAAATGTTGAGGATTTTTTAACTCCTTGGGGACAGACACTATATGTTTTCATTTATTTGTTTTCTTAACTTTTCCTAGTTTCTGAGAGGAACTCAGTAAGTAATATTTGTTGGATGAATGGGATAGTTTTTAAAGTTCTGCTTAAAAGCCTAAGATTTTGCCTCAAAGAGGCAACTGAATATACTATATAAATGATTTTTAAAAGAGACCACAGAATAATTTCTAGTTTGGAATTCTATAAACATTTTAAAATTCAAAGTATTGGGGAAAGTTGATCTTATTTATGTAAAAATAGGTTAAAAATATATTGAAATAGGCTGGGTATGGAGGCTCAAACCTGCAATCCTAGCACTTTGGGAGGCCAAGGCGGGAGGACTGCCTAAGCTCAGGAGTTTGAGGCCAGCCTGGGCAACATGACCAGCCTCTACTAAAATACAAAAAATTAGCCAGGCATGGGGTTGCATGCCTGTAAGTCCCAGCTACTCAGGTAGTTGATGCTTGAAAATCATTTAAACCTGGGAGGTTGAGGTTGCAGCAAGTCAAGATCTTACCACTGAACTCCAACATGGGCGATATATATATAAAATATCTATTATTTTCAGGGTAAGTAAATCACATCTGAATGTTTCTTAACTCTCTTATTCTTTTTAACATTTAAGTACTTCTCAATTTTCATGATATAATTCCTGTGGTGAACCAGTGAAAGAAATGGAAATAGAAGGCCTTTAGAAGCAAAATGATCATGAATTGCCCTTGATCAATATTTGTTTCATGTGTCTTTCACCAAAGACCCAGTTTATTTCCTATATTTCCATATTCCATAAATCAAATTAATGTCTTCATTTATTTACATCCCTAGTACTTAGCACATAGTATGCATTTAGTAAATAACATTTACTAGGAACATTAATAGGAAGAAAGAAAGGAGTAAGAGGGGAAGAGGGAAAAGCTAGCGACCTGGTTTAGTACTCCTGGAGCAACAAGAGTTGATTGATCAGGAAGAGAAACCCACAGTATATGTAAGTGACCATGTAGCTTTTAGGAAAGCATCTACTGTCAGAAATTCACAGAAAATCCATGACTAAAAACATGTTTGAAACAAAATTGAATCAATCTGAGATAGAAAGGCACACTTATTTTTTTCCCATGGTACATCCATTTGTTTAGGGCTGAGTAATCCTTTAAGAATTGCTGAACTTCCCCCAAGTGCTGAAATAAATCCAGTAACAGCTACTGCAACAGTATAGTCATCTCCAATAACAGTTACAAACAAGATCAGAGAACAAGGAAGGAATCAAGGTGAAAGAGACGAAGAATGCAACAGTGGGCATTGTGCAAGGGTCACAAAATGTGATAGCTCTTTGAACCTATACACAGAGGATAAAGAGGGATTCAAACTACAAAAATATACATCATATTCAGAAAAATTATCAGTGCACAGTTAAGTAATACTTATTTGCTAAATAAAATAAATTATCCTAAAATAGATCTTAAAATCAATGACACTATAATAAATTCATAAATGAAGAGACTTGTTTTCTTGACTTCTACTGTGAAGTGTGAAGTAGTGTGTGTTAGGAGAAAATTATGTGGTATGACATGCAAGAAAGCATTCTTTTAATTCATGTTTTCATGAAAATTCAAAGAATTAATATATGAATATTCAAGATTCCAAAACAATGGCAGCACAACTTATTGATGGAATGTTAATTTTTCCTTAGCCAAGAAACCTATTAAAGATAGAATTTGATTGAACAATAATACTTAAAGTGATATAGCTCACATCTCTTGAGTATGAGGGCTGAACTTTATTAAAACTGTCATCTTTGAATAATTTTAAACTATTACATGTAAAAAATAAGATTAAAATGCCCTCTGACTATACAATCCTGTATAAGATCCAAAGTGCATGTCAACCTTTTCTGTGTATTTTCCTTTAAGAGCATTTGTTTAGCATTCCAATCAATGATAAAAGAAAACTAAGATATTTTTAAGCACTATGCAATTTCTTTACAGCACAGACACACATGATACCCATATTTTGGATTTAAATGCTTAATACATTTATTCGGTACTGTCTATAACTAACAATAGTTTTACTTCTACATAGTTCTCAACATTGAGATCATTTCTAGAATCAGTTATTAATAGAAATGAGACACAGGATAAATGTGAGAATGCTTCTTATTTATCTCAGATTTATTTATGTTTTAAAGCACTTGGTAATTTTAAATTATTGGTTATAAGAGGACATGATTGTCCATACCTGATCACTCACAGCCAATGGAATACTAATCCTTCTAAAGCAGTATCTGCCAATAGGGTGATTAGAACAAAAGTAGAGGGAAAACATTTTAAAATCACCAGGTGAGTTTTTCCCAGACTGTACTCTACCTTCACAACCACAGAAAGCCAATGTTTTAGAGGTGTGTTGTAGACCTAATAACACGACCGTAATCAGGGTTTAGCTAGAACTGAATTTAGAAGCTGTCACAAGTGCTGCTAAAAAGGATCCAAAAAACAAACAAACCAACAAAACAGAGTAATGAGGCCAACACACAGGGCTTCTGAAGAAATCTATGTCTACAGAGGTTCTCAGCTAGATCTGTAGTAAGACAACAAAGGAAGGACATTATTGCCATCACATCTATGCATAAGCAGTGCACTTTCAATTGCTTACCTCCAATATTCTGAATTATTATGGTGCCTGCCACCATCACCTGTAAAAGAACAAATATATTCAGAAGATAAAGGAGGAAATAATATAAAAGGATCAGTGTTTTATTAATATCCAGCAACTCTTACTAAAAAAACAGATGCAGGAGTGAAAAGAAACTAGAAAGAAATTTGCCAGTCATTTGTAATACATAAAATTAATAATCATCATATTAAAAACTATTTCTTTAATAGTTCCATAGTTACTATAAAAATTTTTTTGAAATCTTTTTTTGGCAGTGATTTTTAAATAGTTAAAATTGTTAAAAGCTAGTAATCGATGATTATCAAAGTATAAAAATTAAAAGTGAGGAAGAGTATCTCCTTCCCTTTCTTGCTGGTTTTACCACACTGCTTAAATAAGTAGAAAAAGACAGGCTGGGGTGTGCTGCGCCAATGCTATATTGCCTAAAAGGAAATGATATAAGTTTTCTGATCATATCAGCTTGGCATATACCAAGACTTTGAACATCTCAGTCCCAGGGATTAAGAAAGTCTAGAGCCCAAATATTCTCAGACCCCAAAAATACAGGCAAAATGTTCCAAACTCAGTAATGTGTATTAAGCTGAGTATAAGACATGGGAGTTGGCAAGAACTGTATTATATTGGAGAATTTTTCCCCCTTCAGTGGGGCAGGTGCTACTCAGCTCTGGCCAGTTGATAACATGTGAAAATGTGAATCCAATGTAGCCAGATCTTCTGATTTTTCAAAGAAAGCCAGAAATTAAATGTTTTCATACTTTCATGATGCTTAGTTGGTAATCAGTTAAAAATTAAAAAAAAAAAAAAAAAATTGAGCCACATAAAATGTGCCTGAGGACTAAATTCAGTCTGCAGTTTTGTCAGCTTATCATCTTTGATGAGATTCCTGGGAAACTCAAGGTAACAAATACACTTACAGGAAATACTAAAACACTGTGCTTCCATTTGGGCCTTTCAATCACTCAAATCTTGATGGATTGGAACCCCCAATGTATGCTTGGAACTGACTAGCTGTCTAGCATCATTCAGTTCTACTTGAATTGGTAACAGGTCACCCTTCATGCCCATCTTTGCTAGGAATTCTATCAATGGTATAGCATTTGCCTATCCTGAAAACAATCTAAGTCATTAGGACCTAGGAACTTTGAGGTTTGCAGAGGGGGGCTACTGATATGAAAATTTGGCAAAGTGTCTTTGAAGAAGTGGTGATTGTCACTTGACCGTTCTCCAGAAAAAACTATGCATTTCAGCCTATTTAATAATTAGTTCCAAAATATAAATTTGTGAAAAGATGATTTTGAACTTCTGTACACTATCTTCGGTGCAAATAATACCTACTGTCAATAGTAGGTATACCTGAAATTTGGTTTTCTTTTCAATTAATATATTGCAAAAACAGTAATATTAACTTATTGATGGTTAGTCTTTCATTCTTTTGCTGAATTTAAACATTTAATATCATGAAAGCCAGAATATCTACCTACCTACCTGCCTACTTATGTTTTTAATGCCTAGCACAGTACATGGTACAAGGTATTTGACCAATAAATATTTGTCTGGTGAATAATACCAATTTATAGACATTTAAATAAATCTTCCTTAAAAAGTTCAAAACATTTCAAAAAATTTCTTTATCAGATTATCCTATATCATATCCATATAATATCTGGATAGAAGGAAATAGTTAAGTTTCAACCCAACTGTGGAAGTGGGGAGAAAATTTAAACAAGGAACCAAACAACTCCTCATTCAGAGTATGCTTTGTCAAGTGTGCCTGCCTACTATAAACTTGTTTGGTGCATGTATTAAAAAATGTTTTAATATTTTATAGGGTTTTAGGAAAAAGAGACTCAGCAGTCCCTACTCTTTAAACTTTGCTGCTATACAAGGAATGCAGGAAATATGAACGTGAAATGACAGTGATGTCAGTGACACTACTTAGAGTTATGTTTATAGGTTATATTAAATTAATTGGGGAATTTTCTCATTAAAAAATTTTCTTCTTCTTTGTTTAAACTAGATGGAAGAAATTTATCCCTTGTTACACCAAACATCCTAATCCTCTAGAACAGAGAAATTGCTACTAAGGAAGATTAACAAAACCCTCTACCTTCAAGTAACATATCCTGTTTTGTTCAAGTTTCAGGTTACTAAGGTCCAAGCCATGATGCTATATAGTACGATTTAAGCATTCCTTTCTGTACTTTAAAAACAAAGTTAATTGGAATGTAACTACATTGCATAGCTATATCTTTTTCCTCCAGACTAACTTTTAGAAGTTAGTCACTTCCAAATAGAGTATCCTTTTATAATAAAAATAATATCCTTTTATAATAAAAATAAAACAAAAAATGATAAGTATGTGAAATAATACAAATATTAATTAGGTCAATTTAGCCATTTCACGTTTGCATATTTCAAAATGACATGTTGTCCAGGATAAACATAAATAATTTTTGCCAGTCAAAAACATAAAATCACAAACAACAGAATTACAAACAAAATAATTCCTGTTTGGAGCCAAAATGGATATGAATTTTAGAAGTATTCAGAAATTTTTAAAAATTACACTATAGCACTAACAGCAATGTTCAACTCCTGATTACTGATGGAAGATGACTATTTTTCTCTACCTTTTAAACTAGTGTAGTATGCCTATTGCAAATGAGTGCCCAATTACTGTTATTTCTCTTATTCTGAGTAAGAAAAGCAGTAGATCTAGAGCTCTAGGATGTGGTACTTGGTTTATGTAATAGTTGACAAATAGGGCCCTTAATTTCTCTGGTCCTTAATTTCTTCACCTATAAATGAGAGGATAGCTAGATAATCTTTTAGCACTGTTCAACTCTTAAGTGATATCTTCTGATGACTGGTTTTGTGAATTTAATTCTATGTTGTGTTTCTTCTCTTGTCTTTATGAGGGTTTACTCCTATGAGTACACAGTCAAACTTAGTAAGAAAAACTTAGGTCATGGTTACTCTTTTAAAATCATTCACGTCATTGCGCTCCTTTATTAGAATGAAAAATGTCAAAAGATTCAAGCACTGGGCCGGGTGCGGTGGCTCACACTTGTAATCCCAGCACTTTGGGAGGCCGAGGCGGGTAGATCGCGAGGTCAAGAGATCGAGACCATCCTGGTCAACATGGTGAAACCCCGACTCTACTAAAAATACAAAAATTAGCTGGGCGTGGTGGTGCACGCCTGTAGTCCCAGCTATTCGGGAGGTTGAGGCAGGAGAATTGCTTGAACCCAGGAGGCGGAGGTTGCGGTGAGCCAAGATCGCGCCATTGCACTCCAGCCTGGGTAACAAGAGCGAAACTCCGTCTCAAAAAAAAAAAAAAGATTCAAGCACTGAATTAAATGTATTGATACATTTTTAGGAAGGGCACACAGACTTCTCTTTCTCTGCCTGCTCCCATCATTCTCTTTTCTCACTTTAGTTTCCTTTTATTCCTCTATTGTCTTCCTCTTATACATACTTGTCTCTTTTAACTTGAACCCAAAGGAAAAATGACACTTTGGGTTTTGGACACAATGAGGAGAAAACAAAATTACCTTTCCAGGTAATCCAAATGCAAAGAGTCCAAGATCTTCATAAGATGTTACAGCTGTTAAGAGAAATTACAATTTTCACTTTTACACAAAATGATTTATGTATCAAGTCTTAAAGAGAAGAAAATTAATTCCACTACTACAAACTAGTACAGGATAATTCTTATGATCCAGGCCAATCAGGACTAAACACAAAATGAGAAAATTTTCCCTAATATCCTCAAATAAAGGCAATAGTAAAAAGCATGGTTGGGCTTAATTGACTATTTTATGTAAAAGTCTTGGTAATTTTCATCAAATCTTTAATTTTCACTCCAAAATATAAAACACAATACCTATGATTTTCAAATGTTTTTGTACCTATGATTTTCAGATGTCTTTGTAGTAGTGATGGTTTTTACTTTAAAAAAAATTAATCACCAAGGACTCTTTTGTTTCTTTAATGTATCTCATTTCTGAAAGATTCTGTCTCTCAAGCTGCACATACTAATAATTTTCCCTTTTTACTAAGAAAAAGCTTCTAATCGATATAAGGTAACCAATGTCAACATGCAGATTAATGTAATTTTGGTCACGAACTTACGACCCTCTATCTATCTGACATCTCTCTGTATCTATTTTAAGTTAATCTGTGTAGGCTGATCATAAGTAAATTTGTGATCTTAGGCATTCTGAAATATTTTAAGTTGCTAAAACACTCTCAATACTAATGTTGCAAACTCCTACTGGTTTAATCCATCTGCCTTATTGTAGCTACTGAATGGGCAGACTAAATTTAAAGCAGAAGTAACCATTTGTGTTTGGAAAACTTGACCGCTTATGATCTGTAAGAATACAGTCCTCTTAGAATAAGTAAAGCTTAACACATTTCAAGGTTGTCTCACAACCAGCCACGCTGGATTAATTCAAATGGAATAATTACTCAAGAACATCCCTGCTTCTCACTATACAGTACTTGCATACCACATTGTCCAAATATGTTTTATTGGCGATGGTTTCTAAAAGCTGTATAAGTAAATAAAGTATAAATGTATGCTACTTTCAGAGATGTTCACTTATCCAGGTGCCTAGAATGATAATGTGTTGACAAAAAATAATAATCTTAACCCATAATTGGTAGGGCATATACTTTCTTTTTTCATCATAAAAGAGTATTAAATTACATTTTCATGTCACATGTTTAATAAATGTGGTCACAGAAAAGATGAAAATTAAATGGCTCATAAAAGAACCAAACTGTGTCTTTAGATCATCTAGCTTTGTGTTTTAACTAGTGGTGTCACTATTTGTATAATCCTATAGTTTGAGAAGTGCTTACACTAAAGAGGATAGCAGATATTGAGGCTTGGTACAGTAATACACATCTTTTATTGTGTTAAAGAGATGGCTCATCATTTCTCAAAGCTAGTTTTAATAAATCTTCTCAAGATATACATAAGTTTTCTTAAAATTGTCACTGTATAAACAAAAAAACTTCTTGGTACTTTCATAATCAAAGACTTCCATGTATGTAACAATAAGCATTTTTAAAGCCAAATATAATCTTTACATATTATTACTACAAAGTTAGAAAGAAAGCAGTGGAATGCTGAAAAAAAAGGAGATTTACTAATTAAAAACAAAAATTTTAACTTTATTATCACAGTTGATCAAAGAATTTGGAAACTTCATGAATGATACATCTCTTTTATAAAATGTATTTACATCCTGCTAAACAATGCACAAGGGCAATTGAGCTTTGAATTTGAGATACACAATTTAATTTATGAGAAGAAAACTTTATGCTTTAATAATAAAGACTTCAATAATAATTTTATAGGGGTGGATTTTAGACACATTTTGGAACATTAAAAAGTTACAAAACTAAGAACTTAAATTTTTTCCTCCTGGCCGGGTGCGGTGGCTCAAGCCTGTAATCCCAGCACTTTGGGAGGCCGAGGCGGGTGGATCACGAGGTCAAGAGATCGAGACCATCCTGGTCAACATGGTGAAACCCCGTCTCTACTAAAAATACAAAAAATTAGCTGGGCATGGTGGCACGTGCCTGTAATCCCAGCTACTCAGGAGGCTGAGGCAGGAGAATTGCCTGAACCCAGGAGGCGGAGGTTGCGGTGAGCCGAGATCGCGCCATTGCACTCCAGCCTGGGTAACAAGAGCGAGACTCAGTCTCAAAAAAAAAAAAAAAAATTTTTTTCCTCCTATGTGAAATGCCAACATTCCTTTTTTTTTCAAATCACATATTCTAAAGTAAATGCTATCATAAAAATTAATAATTGTTTTGATCATCAAATTTTTACTGGCTTGTTTTAATATTCTTCAACTTAATTGATAATGTTATACATGGGTACCATTCCTTATATTTAACACTCTACTGCCTTGGTGTATATATTAAACCTAAAAATTATGTACATATTATCTTGTAATTTGTCATTGAGAATGTAACTTTGTTCCATATTATATGAACCAAGTCTCCAGAGCATCTCTGATATGTCACTCTGAGGCATGAGATTAAATATCAGCGTTCATTTTTAGCTTCCCTTTTATATTACAGTTAAATATATACATTTTTTTTTTTTGAGACAGGGTCTTGCTGTATCACCCAAGCTGGAGTGCACTGGCACAATCATAGCTCACTGCAGCCTTGAACTCCTGGGCTCAAGCAATCCTCCTGCCTCCGCCCCCAGAGTTGCTGGGACTACAGGCACATGCCAGGGTAACTTTTTATTTTTCCTGTTTGGATAGATAGGGTTTCATTACATTGCCCAGGCTGATCTCAAACTCCTAGACTCAAGCCATCCTCCTACCTCGGCCTCACAAAGTGCTGGGATTATTGGTGTGAGCCACTGCATCTGGCCCATTCTTTCTTTAGAAAATTTTCCTTCCAAGAATTTAGAGCAACGAAGCTTTACAGTGTTACATATGGGGATATATCAAACACCTGCTTTTCAAATGACCTATTTTGCATCAATTTCTCAGTCAGTGAGCAAGTCATTAATGTAATTCCCTAAATCAAAAAGTTTAACTGGAGTTTGTTTTAAACAATAAAATGAAGTATAGATAGTATATTTAGTAAACCTAACAAGCAAATATCTTTGCTGTGAGCAAAAACCATAATACTGAAAGATTTCAAACAGAATTTGTTTTTCCGTTATATAAACTTTTAAAAATTAAACATTTATTTTTAATTAAAAAAATTAAAACAGCCCTACTGTTTGAGAAAATGTAATTAAACTAACAGCTCAATGAAGACAGTTTGAACTGCAACTACTTGCTCTCTGGGTCTATTTTTTTTTTTTTTTTAGTTTTATGAAAATATGTCTCAATACAGTAAATTTCGAAATTGAAAAGAAACCATTAGGCTCTTAAATGGAGACTGAGTACAATGCTCAAATCCTAATTCTAGCTTTCCGGTCAGCATACCTAGCTAGTCATTCAGTTCTGTCACTGTCATCAGACTTTTTTTATGTTGCAAAAATTAGAAGCACTTTTCCATGCCTGGGACAGCATGAATATGAATAATGGCTTCTTGCTTAACATTGAGGCTTTACTAAATAAAATGTGAACATAGCCAAATGTTTGATCTTCACATACTCACTTTTTAAGTTTTCTGGAGCATCTCGGCATAGAAACCAAATCAACACTAGGGAAATACTTTTAAAGCGCTGCTCTGTCATTTGGGCAATTTCTTTCTTTACATTTTTTGAGATGGGGTCTTGCTCTGTTGCCCAGGCTGGAGTGCAGAGGTGCAATCTTGGCTCACTACAACCTCTGCCTCCCGGGTTCAAGCAGTTCTCTGCCTCAGTCTCCAGAGTAGCTGGGATTACAGGTGCCCGCCACCATGCCCAGCTAATTATTTTTGTATTTTTAGTAGAGACAGGGTTTCACCATCTTGGCCAGGCTGGTCTTGAACTCCTAACCTTGTGATCCACCTGCCTGGGATTACAGGTGTGGACCCGGCCTATTTGGGTAATTTCTTAAAATGCTGAAAACAGGGTAAACTAGCACTGACTGTTGAAATGCTATTTGAACAATGAACCTTTAAAATATTTAAAACGTTTGACCCCTAAGAGCTTGTCTTAAGAAGTAAAACTAATAATCAAGAGTAATCATTATATGCAAAGATACTCACAGGGCATTGTTTTAACTGGAAAAACAAAACTAATCTAAATGCTCAACAATGGGAAAATGGTTACATAAATTTTGGTAGGTATTTTTGATAGAATAATATGTAGCCATTAAAAACTATAATAATATTAAAATGCCAATATTATTTTAAGTGAAAAAGATACATAAAAAGACTGAATTGATTTACATACAAATGGTCACAAACTTTTTTCTTTTTCTTCCTTCTTTTTTGGCAGGGAAGGGTTTCCATTATTCTATAATGAATATAATAAAAGTGGTAGAACTTTATTTTTAAAAACCATGTTTTTGTATAGTTCCATTTTCTCTACCAAATACCTTGTAGGTTTGATTTAAACTGTAATTTTAATTTTCTCTGGTGTTTAGTAATTGAAGTATTTATTGGTCTACTAATAGGAGATATTTTTTCAGCTCCTTCCTACCATCAATGTTTCATGAAAGATGTTTTGAGAGATACAAAAATAAGATGTGATGACCAGTCACATTAATAGCATATTCCTACAGAACAGGAATAACATTAATTATGACAATCACAAAATTAATTCAGTCTTTTGCAGGAATTCATACAAACAGTACTTGGCATGACCCATCTTGAGTAAACGACTGAAAGCAACCATTAGCAGTTTATTTTAGGAAATTAGTTTTTGATATTAAAGAAATTGATGCTATGTTTTGTGGGGCAGAAAGGCTATAAATCTTAATCAAGTAAATTTAGGGAAAATTTCTTCCTTAATGTACCATCAAGGTACACTTTAATGCTTTAATGTTTTGGCAAGAGAAAGAGTTTGGCCTCCACAGGAATCATTTAGAAAGCTGCTTCCCATGAAATAGTGGAATATTTCCAGCTAGTTATTCCAGTGTCCTGCCTCCTCTATATTTTTCCTCAATGAAATAGGACAATTAATAAACTCTG